ACTGCACTGAAAAACTAAGTTGTAAGATACATCCCCACAACACTGGGGAGATGTGGGGTAGAAGGAGGGTTTTTTCCATGAGTACTTAGATTGTAATATTGAGTAAATAAAAGAATAGGCACTTTATCATGGAGATCAATCCAAGAGATGTCCCCTGGAGATCTATACACCTACAGGCATCATAAAGGTTCTTAGTTGGTTTTCCTTCTGATGTCAAAATAGTCTGAGAGATGTTTCTTCCTGAGAAAGGAAAAGGTTCCAGAAATCCATTCAAATAATGTTAATTTTGTTGGCATTCTCTCTGTCAGCTCTTTCAGTTACTTGCTCTTAATTGCTCTCCACACCCATAAAGGGGAAAAAAACCAAAACCACTACCGACTCCAGCTGCCAGGTTCTAATGACAAATAACCGCTCTCTAGTGCAACTTTAATTACAGGGCAGGCGGTGCACCAGGCAGGAAGCGTCCAGTTCTGACACGAGGCCTCCTGCCCTCCCTCCCACCCTGAGAAACACCGTCATTAAGCTAAGGCCCTACAAGAACCTGCATGCAGCCTGGGGGGCCACGTCCTTTCATGTTCTGTGGTCACCTTCTAGACAGTGTAAGGCCAGAACCACAGGGGCGGCAGCAATTTGGTGTCCACACCTGCCCCGGGAATTTTTCTTTAGTTCCAAATTTCACCTTTGCCCTTTCACAGTGGCTACCAGTGGGAGTGACCTTGGATCAAAGTTAAAAAACACAAATTGAACTACGAATACAAGGCCCATTTTAAAGGGGCGCCACTCAAGCTTTGTAAATAACAGGCTTCTTCCTGAGCCTCAGGGAAATGTTCACCTCTGGAACTCTCCTGCTTTAAGGGGCGTCCTAACTGTGGCAACGAGTAGCCTTTTTATCTTATACTTAGAACAAACATGAATGAAAATACACATCCAATTACATCCTGGCTGGTTAACATCACCTACACTATGACTCAGAAAGCCTGCTTCTAGGGATTTACCCAAGAGAAATGAAAATATACTCCACACAAAGACTCGTACAAGAATGTTCACAGCAGCAATACTCATGACATCCTTAAACTGGTAACAACCCACATGTCCACCAACAGGGGAATGGATAAATCAACTGGTATATCCACACAACAGAACCCTACTCAGCAATTAAAAAACAAACTACTGATCCACGAAACACAATCGAATCTCACAGACATTAAGTTGTGCAGAAGAAGATGGACAAAAAAATAAGAGCACATAGTAGCACAGTGTATGATTCCATTTCCATGAAGTTCCAGAATAAGCGAAACCAGTCTCTGGTGAGAGAAGTCAGAAGAGGGGTTGCCTCCGCAGGGAGGGGTGGGAGGCAGAGCTTAATGGGCAGGAGGGAACTGTCTTAGGGGACAGAAACGCTCCATCTCTTGATCAGAGTGGAGGTCACAAATTTATGGAACTGTACACTTAAAATGGGTGCATTTAATTGGATGCAAATTACACCTTAATATGAAGACAGAAAAACCATAAACAGCGGCTGCAGGATTTGATGGGGTGAAAGGACCGGCTCATCCCTCTCAGAGTCGCTTGATTCTTCAGAGCCACAGGAACATCTCAGACTCTGAAATTCCACAGGAACAGGACACCCCAGAAAACAGGCCTGGTTCTCAGGCTCGGGGCCTCCACTGGGCTGACCCAGTTTGGGCCGCCCCAGGGGCCGAAGGAAGACAGGCATAGCCACAGGACCCCGGAGGCTCTGGGGCCGACATTTAGGGAGGTGGGCAGCACTGTGCACGGTCAGCACATAAATGGCCTGCCGGCTCCCTTCCCCAGTCGCCAAGCAAAGGCCACAGCAGGGAGCCCTGTCGAGGGGGTGGGGAGCCAGGCCCACAGGCTTCTCACAGGTCCGACACCTGCCTGCAGGGGGCGCCCTGCAACGATGAGGTTCACACCGCAGCAGGAGTGCTCCAAGCCTGGTCTGTCTGGGCAGTGTGCCTACCTCCTGCCTAGGGGCCAAGATGTGCCCCAGACCCACAAAGAGGGCGGTCAACAACCTGGGTCAAGTAACCCTGCAGTTCTCTCTGTCCACGTTGGTAGTCAGGGACTATTACAAGTGCAGCTTCCCGTGCCTGGGTCAGTTAGTGAGGAGGGTTTGCCAGGACCATCATTCTACAGGTGTGACTTCCCCACGTGCCTGTGTGCTCGCACGTGTACAGGGAAGGGCAGTGACTTTTACTGTTAAAAACGTCGATTTTACAAACCTCTTTCACACATTCTCACTCCTCAGTGCTCACCTTCAATGCCATTTCCTCAGAGGAGCCTTCCTGGAGGCCTACCTCCAACCTCCAATCCTCCCTGTCATCTCCTACCACTTTTCTAGGAGGGCTCCCTCCTCACCCTCCCCATGACTATAGCGATTTGTCTCTTGTTCACTGCCTGATTTCCCACTCACCATGAGGTCGAGAAGAACGGGGACTGTGGCTGGTTTGTGCTCTACTGTATAAGGAAGCACCCTGCCTGGCACACAGTAGGGCCTCAGTCAATCCTGGTTGAATGGACAAATTCTATACCTGTTACCCAACACACAAAATAAAGCAAACAAACCCCAAGAACCCCTTGCTCCTGCTCCTGCAAGTGCGATGTAAAATGCATGTGAAACAGCCCTATAGTCCTCGCCTGCTTCTAGAGAGAGGAAGTCCCCTGGGGAGCTGGTTGGAGGCTCTTTGTAACACATGACATGCACGTCAATGTCTTAAACGAGAATGCTGCAAAACGGACGTCCCACATTTTATCTTTCTTGCCAATATCTGTGGCAACAATAGAAGGAGATGTAGGTCCTGTGGAGCTGACCAGGCAAATGCAATTCATGAGCAATTTCATTCTCTAAAAAATGGCCTGTTACAGGAAGCATAGGTTGCAGATTCAAAGTGGTGAAATAAAAAATGACCCACTTGAGAACATAAAACACCGAGGGTAGGACATATATGCTGACTTGGAAAGTCATCTAGCATGCTGTCCAAGGAAGAAAAATCATCCGTGTGCACAGGTGTGCTCATGGGGACTGTGGCCCAGAACCTCTCAGCTCACAACAAGATCACTTAAAGAAAAGGAAAAAGCATCAGATCTGGCAGCAGCCCAACCCAGGCCCATAAAAGAGGAGGTCAGTGCTATCACCAGACAATACACGTTTATAGAGGAGCTCCCCACCAGACCCTAACACCACTCAAAAATAGTGCACCCTCCTTATATGGTGACTGATAAACAATAATGTACAACAAAAATTTCACAATAAAAAAAAAAAAATAGTGCATCCTCATTCTCCCAGTTACCTAGAAATCTGTTGAACTGTTGGCCCAAAGATTCATCTTCACGCCCGACCCTGAGGTTGGCAGTTCTGCCACTGACCGCCGAGGGAGTGGGATGCAGAGGCACAGTGAGAAGGCACTGAGCCAGGAGTTCTAGGCTCAGCCCCCCACTTCCTGTCTGTCAACCGTGACAGCCTCACTCCGACTCCCTGAGCCACAGTTTCCTGCCCAAGGTACTGAAGAAAGTGAACCTTAATAAATAAAGCAGTGAACAACATAAAAAATCCGTATTCTGACATAAGTTGTGACCTTTCTGTTGCTCCCCCCTTAACATCAGGGCAACGATTCTGGTCATTTATCGAACGCTGATTATGTGCTAGCTTATATGCTAAGCCCTGGTTTTAAAAAAGAAGTAAATAATCTAACAGGTCATAGAGTGGGGAAAAAAAACCTAAACATGGCTCTGGTTTTGCTTTCTGTGTTAGGAGTTGGGGAATAAGGACGGGAGAGTGCAGAGTGGGGGAATTTTAAACTAAATGTCTTTGGTAATTCACTCTGACTCAATGCGGCACATCAGAATGACCTCTGAGCTATGTGCCAAATGACCAGAGGATATATGCGGAAAGTAATTTGCAAGGGCCTGAGTCCTGCCCAGGGTTTCTCTGATGTCAGCTACGTGCCAATGTGCAGAGCGGAGAGAGGCTGGAGGGTGGAACCCCATAGCTGAGAACTCTCAGCTCCAAGGGGGTGGTCACGAGCCCTGGTACATGGGGATGGGTCCCACTGTGGCTTCTGCAGACACAAGAGCCTAAAACAGAAAAAGGACCCTCCGCTCACTTCTGAGGCTGAGGCTGCCGAGAACAGCACAGGCTGGGGAGGAGCAAGGGAGCCAGAGCAGGCCATTTTCAGCTGTGCACATCCCACCTGGGCCTGGAGGGAGGTGGCAGGGACATTCTGGGTCAGTGCTCTCCCACCTGATGCCGTGTGTGGCGGGTTTCTCTGCAAGCCCAGCTCCCCCTCCTCCCGCAGCAGCCCAGGCTCTGCCCGCCTCCGAGGTAGGGCACGTCTGCCCAAAGAAAGTACACGGGACCCCATCAGGCCCCACTGCTGTCTGGAGAAACGGTAGCCTGGAGTGGTGGGAAATAGTGGTCAGCCAAAAGCAGAAACCAAAATTACACAAAGGGAAAAACAGGAAGAGTCCATGAAATAAAAACGGCAAGGAAAGGTTTTGCATTAACACCCACACTGCCCTACTTTCACTTTCCCAGGAGATAATTCTGTCATCCAGAGCCCACTGCCAAATGTTTGCTCGGAGTGTGTGCAGAGGCCTACAGTCACCAAGGAACTCCAAACAGAGCTGAACTTGAACTCGGTGCTGCCAGTGATGGGCCTGGTCCTCCCCTAGTGGGGTCTGTGGATGTATAAACTCAAGGGTGTCCCTCAGAGGTGAGGGTCTCCGACCCGGAGCTGGTAGCTGAAGTGGTGTACACAGGCCAGGTGACCAGTAGAATCCTGGACCAGCATGTGACGGTCCTTCCATAAGCAACCCACACGGGGGAGTCCTAAAGAAGGTCTCTCAGGCAGGGCAGTGTTTGAGTAAGCCCCCCAATCCCAAGCAGAGCAGCCGTCTGTTAAGGTGAGCCTGCCGCCTCCAAGCCACTCCTTGGAGGGCGAGGGGGTGAGCAAACCCACGGTCCCTCCACTGCTACTCACCATGTACGAAGGAAAGATCAGAACGCGTTTGTGCTTGCCACAAGGCCACTGCGGGTCATCCAGGAGATTTGGGTCATAGTCCAGAAAGTCTCCCAGGTCGCTCCCTAAGGATCACATGCAAAATGATAATTAGTGGCCCTGGACCCCCCGAAGCAGCAGCAGCAGCAGCTAGCCGAATGCCGAGTATAAAGTTAGACTGAAGAAAGGCCGGACTCAGGGCATCTAGCTCAGGGTCACATCGCTCACTCTGACTTGAGTAGACGTCTCTGCACACCAGTGGAGTGTATCCCTCCACAAAAGGGTTCACCAAATACTTCTGACATTTCTTCCATTTTAGAAAATTACACATTAATCTCCCTGACCCCGGAGAGCACAAAACCTCACAGAGCATGCAAGATGCAGTGAACACGCACAGGTTATAAAATGTGACATTGAAAAGGCTCCTTTTCTAAACCTGCAAGTGAGATTAGCCAACTCAGGTTGTGCCAGGTGAGAAGCACGTTTTTGGTGTGAGTGCTTCCGGGCAGGCTACCGTGTCTGCATGAATGTACGTGAGAGCAGGCACCTATGCGAACAGCTGCCAATGACCGGAAGCAGCTGGAACGTGAGGACAGTGCTTCTGAACTCAGCCCCTGGACAGGCCTGTGGGACTTCACATTCACCTGGAATTTCTCTGAGAATGGAAATAATACTACTTCATAAAGAGTTTTCTCCCTTGTGTCCATTCTTACAAAGGTTTACATAGGCAAAGCTGGAAGCATGCAAGTCTTCAGCACCTCAGTAGGTCACCCACTAGGAAAATCACAAAGAAAGTTTTCATACCTGATCCTGAGTTTCTGGCCCAATTAATTGAAGAAAAGCCAAATTTGAGCACTATGAAAATGGAGGCAGGAACCAGGCTGAGATGAGGAGCTGAATGATGGCGAGACGCTGGGGAATGTAGCCATGTCTGCATGGTGCAGATGGCCTTGGCATTTCTCCTTGTGGGAGGCTTGGGGGTTGGTGACGGAAGCATCTCAGTAGAGACATCCGCCTGTGGCCTGGTTGTAAGCCCACACAGCCCGATATTGGGCTTGCCCAAAAGTCATGTCGCCTGTGGGATGAGCTCATGCTCTAGGCGCACCTGTCCTCCAGTCTGCAAACAGGAAGACCGAACCCACACTGTACAGCGAGGCACCTCCTGCCACAACCTTCCTGGACCCAGCCAGGCCTCAGGTTACCTGTGTCAAGGCTCCCCTGGGTGCTGCTGGCTCGGCCAATGGAGAGGCTGCGGTGGCTCAGGTTACGGAACTGGGAGAAGGAGGAAGTGGAGTCTATGGTATTTCTCCGGGCTCCAAAGGCATTTGTGGGTAACAGAAATTGGGTATAAGAAACAGTCTAAAAGGCGAAGACAAAAGCAGGCAAGTGATCACTACCAGGCAGTGCCAGGTTTACATTCTGACCACGCTACGCTGCCACCCCAAGGTCAGGTCCATACTCCCACACCCGCAGTTCTAAAGTCCAATGAGATCTGAAAAATGAAATCTGTTTTGGCACTCACTTTGGCCAAAACCTAACCTGGACTGATGGAGGTTGTGTATAGTTTTAATTTATCCCACCTGGCGTGAGTATTCACGTTATATGGCAGAAACATTAGTGTGTTTGATAACAAGGTACTATCGCAGAAGCTGCTGGGGTGTTGAGCAATACAATCGGCACCAAGTGCAGAATTCCAGAACACCTCAGGCCCCAAGAGTCTCTGACAAGGGACTGTGTCCTCCTATACGTTCCTTTGGCAGATGCTATCTATGATGCTCACCTCTATGCCATCCTCCCTCATTCCTATGTGAACACTCAGCCTTTAGGAACAAAGACAGAACAAATGTTTTCCTTTTCACCTGCTTGAGGAAATGTGGTTCATGCACCTCTAGCCTGTGAGCTCGGGCTGATACCACTGGGGCACAGTGGTGACCAGCTGTTCTGGGGGAGGGGAGGTTGTCTGCCATGGGATGGCTTCCCCAAAGAGTCATTTAAGCGTTCTCTGTGTATTTACATTATCGTCTCCATAAACAGGCTTTGGGAGGGTGGTTTATGAAGACTGTCTGAATCCAGCAAAAACAGGTCAAGTTCATCTTTCAACCTGCATTCCTCAGACTTCAACCCAGCAGCTCACTGAACTGTGCATAAAGAGGAATGTGATAGCCCTGCTGCTCGGTGGTCACTACAGATTGAGGGACTCAGCGTCTTAGGACCATGGGAAGCCAAAAAAACTTTCTAGTAGCGGGAATGCTGCTTGCCACCACCATCAGTTAATACACATTCAAACCACTAGTCACTCCGCCCCAGAACATGCAGGTGTGTGTGCATGTGCATGAGACACTGGTCAGTACCTCATATTCCATCATAAACAGCCTTGGCAGAGAAACAGATGCACTGCTATTTCATCACTGGCTTGGTGGATTTCTGTCTGCACGCTGGGGGAATAGGGACAGGCTGGTGTCACACACCCACACCTGGTTCCTCCACCACAAGTGAGGTTCATGGTCTGTCACACTGCCTCTGCTTCCTGACCTGTGTGGTATTGGCACAAACCCGCTGCCTAGAAGCCAGGCAGGCTTACCTTCCCGTCAGCTCCCAGCTCCACACCTTCAAGGCCAATGATCTCTTTCAAGCTCACGGCACCTGTTGATTGTCTCCCTCCATCCAACTTCAGATCCCTGGGGAGCACAAGACAAAAAAAAAAAAAATGCTTTTGTTTGCACCCAAGAGAGCCGTGATGATGTTTATTGCATGAGACACCACAGTCACACTGGTGAAAATGACCAAGCGGGCCCTGGCCAACGGGACCTCCCTCTGTTCCTCCTTCAGGGCTTATCAGCAACACTCTGCAGGCAGTTCCATCCACTTTGAAATAAACAAAATCCAACTGAACAGAAAGCCTGAAGGTGGAAGTCAGGCTCAGACGTCCCTTCCCGCTCAAAAGACCCCCCCACTCTTAGAGGGTCAGTGAGCAGGAAGCCAAGGAGCATCCCCTGGGCCCGGTGGGACAATGGTTCTCTTGGGCTCTGGCTGCTGGGCTCTTTCTAAAGCGAGGAGAGACCACTTCTCCTTGTCACCCCCTTTATCAGATGAGAGAAAGAAATTCTTGTCCTGAACAGTTCTCAGGTTTATTGCTGGTAACGAAAGAATTAATGCCACTAAAGCTACCCCAGCTACCTTGCCAGGCCACCTAGAAAATAAGTATCTTTCTACAGAAGAATAATCTCCAGTGGTAATAACAAGCATTTATATAGCACGTCACAATTTACAAAGACTGCTACACATCATCTCTTTCAGTCTTTCAGATGACCCTATCAGACAGTCAGACAGGTATTGCTGTTATTATTCTAGTGTGTGTGTGTGTGTGTGTGTGTGTGTGTGTGTGTAATATCAGCCCTGAGCTAACATCTGCCAATCCTCCTCTTTTTGCTGAGGAAGACTGGCCCTGAGCTAACATCTATTGCCAATCCTCCTCCTTTTT